CTGTTCTCCCATCTGTGCGCCTGCCATTTAATAATTATATCAGGAATTAAATGCTATAATAGAAGTATAAAAAGTTGCACTATTTCCTTCACAATATAAATTGGCTACAATTTAGTGAGATGCCATTTATACCAGGAGAGAGCTTTTAAATTCATTAATTCAGTTTTTACTGGTAGTTCTGTGATGAGTGGTATCAGTATGTTTCCTAAAATGAAACCAAGTGCCTTTATTTTGGAAATGCCATCTTGATTTAGTATTTGGAAACTATAAAAAATGTTAAGTCATCACACACCTGCAGAAATTTAAACATTGTTATTACTTTCTTGGGCTAAAGACCAAAATGAAGTTGGAAAGGCTTTAGCTTAAACAATTAAAGTGTAAATAGGAATCTTAATGGTGAATTAAAAAAAAATTAATAGTGAATTTTAAAATCAGTTCTCTAAAGTATCCAAGGATACAGGCGTACAGGCCAATACACTTACCTAGGGAGATTATTTGGAAAACGACCTGAGTGATAGAATTCAGAAATTGTGTGTTTGTTCATTCAAGGCGGATGGCAGGACGAAACCTGGCCGGATGGTTGGACGGCGGTGACGAGAGATGGAAAGCGGTCTGCTCAGTTCGAGCACACCCTGCTGGTCACGGACACTGGCTGTGAAATCCTAACCCGGCGACTCGATAGCACGCGGCCTCACTTCATGTCCTAATTTTAATTTCTCCCGCGATGGCACATCTCAGTGATACCTTCTGGCTGTACCATGCATTTTATTGAGAGTACAGAATGGAAGAGGAAATTTTTTATTACTTGTTTTGTTTTGCTTATAGATAAGGACTACAGCATTTGATGTGTGTCCTCAAGAACTTGTCAAGCCAAGAAGAATAAAGGAAACATTTCTCAACTCCTTTCAATGCTCTCTTCTCCCCACAAAAATATCTCTGCACCCCCGTTTCCTCCTCTGCCCTTTGAGCACTTTTACTTAAACCTGCTTCTTTCTAGTTGCTTTTATCACTGCCACCACTGGGCCGTCAGGAGCCAGCTGCTTTCCAGGTGAATGTTGGAGATGAGAATCCTTGAAACTTTAGCAACATATGTTGCTCCAGATTTTTTTTATTATATATGTATGGAAATATATATGTGTACATTTAAAATTTCGTATATGTAATTGCTGAACACTATGTGACCTGGGGTTTGTGTTGATTCTGCTCTGACAGGGTTATGTGCTGTCATAAATGGACCCATAGTTTGCAGTGATTTAATTCCCAGTTGGAAATTGGCCTCCCAGCTCCTCCTGCTAATTACCCTTGCAGTTGTGTATAAGGAAGCACTCGGTCAGTGAGACTTTGTCTCCAGTGTGGACTCTGTGTCAGTGAATGGATGTGTCAAAATTCACTTTGGAAAAAGGTTATCAGGTTTTTCAAAATTTAGTTTATGGCAAAAATAGCCATGCCCCAAGTGGTAGCTGGCTGTTGCAGAGCATGAGATTTTTGTAATACATTGCTGTTTCAGACCTCCGTTGGTCACAATGGGAGGAAAAAATGCTCCCTTCCTCCGTCTTATTTCAAAGGCACATGGTGGAAATATTCAGAGAAGGGTAGAGGTTGCACTGTGGAGGTTGATGGGGAAAGATGGTTCGAAATCTCACCAGCAGTGAGCAGAGTGAGTCAGGTGGGCTGTAATTCTAACACTTAGTAAACCTGGTAGTGATGAGCAAGGAACTGCCTAGGAGACTGGACTGCTCCCTCGGGAGGGATGCAGCTGTCCTCGGTGTCCTGAAAACACACTTCACCTTTACGTAGTTGGGAACCTCATTAAAGATGACCTCAGCTGCCCAATATCTGTGTTCTTTTCAGTAGTTCAGCCCAGATGGGAGTGTATCCAGTGAAGACATATCAGATCAAAGTCATCATCATCACGTAGTGTACTTGATTACCGAGTATCTGGTAACTTTATTGTAAGATAATTTGATACCACTGACATGTTCCACTTGTACAAGAACATCTTTCCCAGAGTGCCTCAGACCTTTATTGCTTTAAAGGAATTATGATGATGTTTTCATTACCTTTATTATTTTAATGATTTAGTAAAGTGACTGAATCTGGTATAGACTTTTGGGGGTATGTGTGTGAAGTTTTTTATCAAACTGTAATATTTGTGAATGGAATGCCTTGCAATATGAATGTTAATATAATGTGTAAAGGGAGATTAAAAAGTTTGAATGATTATCCCACCATGTAGTCATTAACTTTGCTGCATTTATTTGGGATTTCAGAGGGAAGTGGTGGGAATAGGGTGGCTGTTCCAATCTTAAATAAACTCGTAACTATTAGAGCAAGAATACTTTTTAAAGTTTAATGGCTGCATAAAAATTTCGGCACTGTGTTTAGTTTGGCAGTCTTCCAGCAGGATTTGAGATGCATCCATATTTTTGAGTTCATTTAAGACAGATTGCTCAATATTTAGGACAGCATTTTATGTACTGATAATGGATTAATTGTGGGCATATTCAGTGTCTATCATTAGAAAATAAGCTCAAGGAAAAAAATCTTGGTGGGATAGGTTTTTTGGTTGTTAAAAGGTAAAAACCAGCACACGGGTGAAGATGCTTTCCTCGGTTTGGGAGATTTTAAAACAATATGGGCTGCAGTCTAATTGTATGTATCTAATTACTGATGTTTACTAGATTTAGGTGAGAAAACATCTAGGGTATTCTCATCATTCTGCCAACTGTTCAAAATGTCAGTGTATTAACTTTTTGGAATTAACTTAACCCCCCCCCCCCGTTTCCTGCCAGTCCTCCATCCCCCTTGGAATAATTTAGAAGGGAAACATGTTGGCCGTTTATCTTCATTTTATGTCTTGTTGGTAGAATGGATTAAAGTACATTAGAACCCATTCACCAACACCTTTATATTACTTGCCATCTACATGTCTAATTACTAGGAAGCGGATATTTAGGAGTTTGCCATCTTAGCTTGATTCCTCAGTTTGTCCTGTCACTTCTGGCTTTTCGTTGGGTTTGGTTAAATTTGAGAGTGGGATGCTCCACTTTGCTAAAGCCCCCAAATGTACCCTCATGGTATCTGTAAGCTATTTCTGGCCTTTTTTTTTTTTAATCTTCCAACTTTGGATTTTGAAAATTTTCACATTTATAGAAAAGTTGGAAGTCTAGTACAGAGAAATTACCATATATCCTTCCCCTATATTCTATATTTGTTACTGTACCATCTCCCTATGAGCACTTCTCTTTTGAAAGACACCTGCTACTGTTGCAGCGTGTCTCTCCTAAAACACAAGGACATTTCCTCCACAATCAATACAGTTCTCACACCCAAGGAATTGAACATTGATACAGCATTGTCTAATGTATAGTATATATTCAACTTGAGTCTCAATTTCCCCCAAAATGTTCTTTAAAGTGTTTCTTCTTTTTTTAAATGCAGAATCAAAACCTATGGTATTCGGTTGTCATCTGTAGTCATTTTTTACTCTAGAACAATCCTTCCACCTTTTTTGATCTTGTATGAAATTGACAGTTGAAAAAAGCAGGCCAGTTAGCTTGTAGAATTCTGCCCTTCCCTGATTGTTCCTCATAAATAGGTTCAGGACAAACATTTTGGCGAACTCTGTGGACGGCATGTGGTGAGTCCCAATCGTTGTGTCATAGCAGGAGGCACGTATATCATTCTCATATTATTGCCAATATGTTTAAAATTTTTTTTTCTTAAATTTTAAGGGAGGAGATAATTAGATTTATTTATTTTTAGAGGAGGTACTGGGGATGGAACCCAGGACCTTGTGCATGCTGATCATGCACTCTCCCACTAGAACTATACCCTACTCCCGCCAATATATATTTGATCACTTGGTTTCTGTCAGATCTATTTTAAGAATATCTTTCTTTTCTTAAGCAAATCTGGGAGGAGATACTTGGAGACCACTTGGATATCCTGTTCCCTCAGGGTTTAGTATTGATTAATAATCCTTGCCAGAATCCGTTATTTTTTTTGGTGGCTGCAAACTGGGACTTTGTAAATAGCATTCCATCTACATTTATTTGTTGGCACTCTTTTACTGAGAAGCATTTTCCCCTCTCTACCAACTTTTTTTGATTATCAATGTGAGCTCACTGATTCTTTTTAAAAATTCAATTTAATTACTATAAGTGTTCCATTTTTAGCAAGTGGGAGCAGCTTGAAGCTTAGTCATGGGTCACTTTGACCGACGCCAGTCATCTTTGAGCACGTTCTTGCTTGCTGCCACATCAAGATGCTCTAGGTTTATCATACACTTTTCCTGCCCCAGACTGGGAATTGGCTATTTCCTCAAGTAGCCCTAGTTTCTCTTCATGGGGAATGGTATTTGGAAATCAAGATCTGGGTGCTGCTGGGGTGTCCTTGCTTCTAGGCACATTCAGGGAACAGAGCCAGCAAATAGAATTTTTATAAATCATGAATTCATTCTGATAGTTTGATTTCAAATTTAACACTAATCTTCCTCACCCTTCCCTGTTCCATATTCGTATTTTCCATCTTCCATGGTGAGAACTTGATTTTGAATATTGATATTTACTTATTTGCTTTATTTTAAAATTACTACATCAAAATCACTACCAAAAATAAACTAAGTGCAAAATTTGTGATTCTTTTATATTCTTGGAACACATCTCACTAAGGGGGTGCAGAATATTGGTATACAAGTTATTTGAAGTAATTAACTTTGATCGTACTGTATTCGAAATTTCAGAAACCATGAGCTACTTTTTAACAATAAATGCAGCAAATCTTAGGGGCAAAATATGCAGAAGGGGTGGGAAGGATTTCTTAGTGGTCTGGGAGTTAGAAATACTGGAACCGATTGACACAGTGTGATAAGATTCTGTCTACATTTAATTGTGTTTGACTTCTACCAAGTTCTCTTGCTCAAGAGAAGCAAATTATGCCACTTATAATGTAGATGTGTGGCCCATTTTCCAATAGAGTAGGGAAAAACATCCGGACATTGTTTTAGGAACAGATTGTTTCACAATATAGGCTGCATTATGCTAATATTCGAAAAGTTACGTATTTTGCTTCATTTTTTCTTTTTTTTTTAATTGGAGGTACTGGGGATTAAACCCAGGAACCTGTGTATGCTAAGCATGTGCTCTACCACTGAGCTATGCCCCCAACCCTTGTTTTGCTTCATTTAAAAAATGAACATCTAAAGAAATTCAGCACAGGCTGCATGCATGGAATTTCTGTGGTCCCAACTGTGTTTCAACTTGGAGGGGCCTTTGGTGATAGACTCCTCTTACCTCTTCTTCCTTTTGGTGCTAAGTATGAAAAAGAAAGACAGTGATTTGCATTTGGTTATTTTGCAAAAGAAAGCAGGAGTAGGGTGGCCTTGGCTACCTGTTACTTGCTGAATTTCATTTTGGGAACTTGGATAAGCAACAACAGAACCACCTGTATATGGCAATTCTGTGGTAATATTTAAAAATGGTAACAGTGGTGTGTCTTAGAAAAGTGTGCCAAAAAGCCAGTATGTGGAGTGCTCCAAGAAGGGCTTCCTGGGGAGATTCTCACTTACCACTAATGTTTGTTATAGTTCAAAGGACTTTAGTAATTCTTGTGGATGTCCAGCCCTTTTACTGTTGCAAAGATTTTAGCAGAATAATTGATTCCATCTCCAGGCCCTGCCTGGCCCTTTGACTATTATTCCAGCCACTTCACCCACTCCTGACAACACACACGTGCCAGTACTTACTCCCACAAGTTTGGGGGCACGTTTGCACTATTGTGTCATAGAAGAGCAGAAGATTATACAACCAGGGCACCAGGGCTCTGAGTTCTTTTTTTTTTGAACTGGTTGCATGGACAGATCACCATATTTCTCTGTGGAAGTACGCTATTTGGGTAATTATACCACATTATCATCACTTAGCAACTTTTATTCTATATATAATGTGGCTATAAAGCAAATTTGCTTTATTTCAGTACTTGGATCAGAAATCAACAGAAAATTCAGGGTAAAAGTTTTTAAGCTTTATCAGTAAATCTAAGCCCTGGGTGGTTCTGAGGAAACAAAATAGCCAAGGAAAAGAATTTTTAGCATTAAGATGTAGATAAGCGAAAGCAACATATTTTACAGCAAATTTCTGCTGTTTTATCTTGTTTAACGTATCTAGGTATTTTTGGTAGTTAAGCATATTTCAGTTGACGTCTAAACTCAGGGTAGTTATGTGGTGGCTTAGCAGTCCTTTCCGTGGAAGGGAGCATGTGCCTATTTAACCTCATCACGAGGAATTGTTAGGCTGTTGAGATTGATAAAAATTAGTCTGCTTAGAAGCCCATGTCACCTGCGTTGTTCCTATAGAGAAAAGTGCCACCAAAAGAAATTTGTAATGGAGGACTTTGTATGTACCGGGTCACTTCCTAGTTGTTTCTTTAAAGATGATTCCCTTGGTAGAGTTCTGTGCATTTATTATCTCACTAACTGTTTAAATATACTTAATAAAATGTTTTCCAAATGTGTTTGTGGTCTATTTTTTTCTAAAGGGTATTTGCTGGCAAAGAATCTGATCTTGCAAGTTAACTAAAACAAAACTGGCTGAATGCAAAGTGGTTTCTTTCCCGAGCTGCAGTTTCTCTAGGTCCCAAGCACTGGCAGTTACTGTACAGCTTTAATCAGCAGCCTACTTGGGCGACTGGCAGCCAAGCAGAAAATGTTCTGAAGCATTCCGTGCATGTAAAATATGCTCCTCTTCCCCCGATCAGCAAAACATTCCCAGAGTTACCAGCCCCGTTTAATTTTGCTTTGAAATAGAATAAATGGAAGTAGCATTATGTGTATCTTTTGGAGCCGTTCTTGTTTGGTGTAAGTTGTGTACACATTAAATGGGTCCGCTGTAACAAAAGTTTGGACATACTGCAGTTTTTTCTTCACTTCAGAAACCTCCTCATTCCTCACTTTCTACTCTATGCTAGTTCCCTGTGCATGTAGTAAAGAACTTGTTCCAAGTCAGACATGCCTGTATGTGGCCTGTGTTTTTACAGTGAACACTAGGTGGATTAAATTGAAAGCAGATTAGGCCAACATGCTGAAAATGGAAAAGCAGGTAAGAAAAGACTTGAAAAATGCCTAGTATATGAAAATTTTCAATAAAAACAAAAACAGAGTTGTTTAAAGTTGGTTCCTAATATTGTAAAACTTAAGATCCTTAAAAAATTTTTACTAGCTTTCATGAAATAT